TTCCCTTATAGCTTTTAGATTAATATATAGTTCTCTAAACTATAAATATAAAGTAAGCGAACGGGGTTACCTTTATAGCTTATATTATACGCCCCTTTTAATATAGGTCCTTATAAGTTTAATCGATTAGCGCCTTATCCTTTTAGCTAAGCGGGTAAGCCTTAAAAGTTAGTTTTTATAGGTATTAATTTTCTACTAGTAAAATATATATATAGTAGTTTAAGTAGACCTTAATAGTACCTTAGTCCTTTTATAAGGTTAGGAAGAAAGTAACTATATATTAGATCTTTTTTATAAATATAGGGTCTTAATTATAGATTTTAATATCCTTTAAAGTAGTTATTTCTAAGAGGCTATAGTCTTATAAAATACTAATCTTATGGTTTAGAGTCTATTTATATATTTATAAAAGTAGTTCCCTTTTAATAGACTTAGGGCTCCCTTCTTCTAGGGTTTTTACTAATAAGTTAGTATCTTAGTATAGTTTACTATATTCTATAGTCTTTTATATAGCTAGCTCTTTACTTAAAGTTACCCTAGCTAGGGTTTCCCTAGGTAGGTCGATCTATAAAAACTATATTTTATTACTAAGGTTTATTAATATTCTTAAATACTATCCTTTATTAAATCTAATATAGTAAGCGGTAGTATTAACTACTATAACTAAAGTTATACCTTAGATTAAGTTATAAGCTAATAATAAGTCTCTTAGAAAAAGTACTAGGTTACGATCCCTTAGTATATCCTTAATCTATACTAGTAAGCGTTCTATCCTATATATAAAGATATCGACGTTAGCTTAGTATATAACCTAATAATAGATTATATAGCCCTATTAAGTTAAGCGAGCTATAACTATTAGGTTACTATATAAGCTAATAAATATTATTCCCTTAAAGTTTAAGATATTAACTTTGTTTAATACTAAGAAATCTTATTTAAGTAATAATCCTATAAATAAGGTCTAGACTACCTAGGTATTAATAGTAAATTACTTAACCTTAAATCCTATTTTTTATTTCCCTAGGATATTAATTATTAAGGTCGCTTAACCCTTAGTTTAGCTTTTCCTTATACTAAATAATAGGACTTACTAGGTTATATTAAGGGTTATATCGTTAAAGTAGTTAAGCTAGTCTTCTTTAATTATAGAGCGGGCTATACTAAAGTCTATATATATATTTAATAGCTAGTCTAGGCCTTTAGTTTTAAAGATAGATATCTAAGTATATATAAACTAGGATAGCTTTATTAGGTCTGATTTTTTAGTTTATAGCGCTGCTCTTATAGTTAGCTAGTTCCTTAGTATTTTAAGCGAACTACTTAGTCTTATAGGTTCCGCTTCTATTATATTAGGAATAAATAGGATCTTATTTTCTATTTCTTTAGTTTCTTCTCTTATATTAATAGTAGTATCCTTATCTTTTAGCCCTTTATTATAGGTAAATAAGATCTAGTTTTATATTTCCTAGGAAAGATATATCTTACCTTAGTTATTAGTTAGTACCGCTTAAAGCTAATAAGTAAGGTTAATAATAATTAGGTTTTCCTAAGAGCCCTCCTTTAGTTTTAAATCCTAAGGCTATAGTTTAGTTTAAGGACTAGTTAATTAGTTTAGTACTAGGCCTATATTTACTTAGCGTAGATTATTCTATCTTATTATAGTCGTTATATTTCCTTTATATTAAGATTATCCTTATTCCTAGGGTTTCTAACTAGTTAGTTTAGCTATAAATAAAGTAGAGTTTACTATAGTCTTATTCTTAGTTTTATATAACCTACCTTATATATATCCTTTTATTATATTACTTATCTTTCCTTATAACCTAACTATTAGCTTAGTTTCTAACTATAGGATAAGTTACTTATAGTTATTAATCTAGGTATTAAATAATTCTAAATTAATAGGTTAGCGGAATAATTCTTATAGTAATATATTTAGTTATTAATAGACTAGTATAGTAAGGTACTCTTTTAAGTATAGCGCTACTTTTACTTTTTAATAGAGCTTTAATATCTATTTATAAAAATTAGCTTTATTTATAATATCTAAGGTAGTAAATCATTTTATTTATAAAGATCTTAAAGCTACTTTTAGCTAAATAGTAAAGCGTTTTTATAGTTTAGTATACTAAGCGGTAAATCCTTAGTTTAAGGTATAAAGTATAACTTAGTTAGATTCGTTAAGATCGCTAGAATACTATTTAATAGTAGTTTTATAAAGTAAGCTAGGGATTAATATCGCTAGCTTATTAGCGTATTCCGGTCTATAAATAGCTACCTACTTTAAGGAATTAATAAATTAATCGACGCTTTTATATATATATTTTTTTTTATTTTTTTTTAGGATATTAAGCGTTATATTAAAGGGGCTAATAAGGTTAAACTTCCTTATATCTTTTAGTCTAATATATACTAAGGGTACTTAAGGAGGGTTTATAGTATTATTATCCTTAGTTTCTCTTATTATAGCTTTTACTAATAGTTTTATAAGAGGTACTTTTATAATTAAGCTTACTAGCTAGTTTACTAAGATTATTATCGCGAACGTACTACTAAGGGTAGTATTATTTAAAGGTTCTTTTTTATTTTATTTATTATAGTTTAGCGAACTTCTAAGGCTTTATCCTTTTACTAAAAGTAGTTAAGGCAAGGTAAGGGAAGCTATACTATACCTATTTCTATATAGCTCTATTACTTATAGCTAATATTACCTTATTACTAAAACGTATTCTAGGTTATTAATTTATTTTTATAGGCTTTAATAATTAGCTAAGTAAGCTAGTAAGTTATATTATAGAAGTTCCGCTCTTAATTCCTTTAAGCGTTATTCTTATTACTAAGGTAAGCGATCTAGCTATCTTTTATTTCTATAGGAGCTTAATAGGAAATATCTTAGAAATAAGTATCTTTCTAACTATTAATAGAAGCTCTATATTACTTAAGCTTTAATACGTTAAAGTTCTACTTTTATCTAGAGTTCCCTAAGTATTTCTTTTATAAAAAGAGATTAAGAAGCTAGTATTCGTTAGTATAAAAGTAAGAGCTTTCTTTCTAAGAAGATATTAAGGTTTATAAGTTAAGGTTAACTTATCTATTTCCTTATTCTTTATCTTCCGTTCTACTAAATATAAACCTTAGGAGAATAAATAGTTAAAGGAATTAAAATTACTATTATTTATTATATACTAGTCCCTTAGTATAAGGCTAGTACTTTATCCTAGCCGTTTACTTAGATTTAGTATAGGTTTAATAAGTAACTAAATAAACTAGCTACTATATATAGTTAAATATATAATATAAACTAGCTACTATATATTATTATATATACTAAATATAGACTAGCTATTAGTCTTATAAGTTAAAGTAAGAGTAGTAATAACTATTTATATTCTTTTCTTTTTACCTAAGATTAAATAAGTTCTTTATATTTTATATATATTATAGCGAGTATAAGACCTTTCTTAGGGCTTTAACTAAGTAATATCTTAACCTTATAATTATATAATAGTAGTATAGTATATTAGCGGTATTTCTTAGTATTTTCCCTAGGTAAGTATAGGTATTTCTTTATAATTTCCTTACTATATTTTTATAGTAACTTTTAAAGGAAATATTAATATAATCCTTAAGGAGCTATTATTACTTAGGAAATTATAGTATATTCCCTATATAATATATCCCTAGGGGAAATCGCTATAAAATATCTATATAATCTACTCGGTTATTATTTCTAGGATTTCTAGGTAATTTCCTAGAGCTTACTTAGTAGCTTCTAAGTTCCTTCTTTTATAAGGAGCCTTAAGGAGTTAAAAGTAACTTCCTTAAAAAAGTAAATATTATTATCGGTACCTAGATTATCGACTATAAGGTATCCTATAATACTTAGTAAATAAAAGCTATTACTATAGCTTACTTAAGATAGTAAGCTAAGGACCTTTTACTTCTTTCTTAACTACTTAAATAGTAAAATACTATATTAATAAGAAATAGGGCCTTAATAGCTATAAGGAGATAGCTTAGTTCTTACTCTTTTATATACTACTAGAGCCTTAGATATAGTAAGTAGCGGGCTTTTAAGAGTAGGGCGGTTTTAAAGGAATAAAAGACCCCTAAGTATTCTTTAACTACTTAGTCTATACCTTTAGTAACGTATAAGAGTAAGAGAAGGTATAAGATAAGCTATAAACCCTTACTTAGTAAGAGGGGTAGTCTTTTAAGGAGTTCTTACTAAAATTTAAAGGGACCTTAATATCACGGAGTAGGTAGAGGCGTGCGCGTAGGTGCCGTCTATAGGATAATATTAACAAGCTATGCAGAGCTCTCCTATGCGCGGCTGACCCGTATATATACGTGCGGGATCCGGCCCTCCGCACGTAACTACACGGCTTAGGCCGTAGCCTAAGCCTATAACCTATAATAGTCAAAGACTCTTATATAATGCCCTCCCTCGAGCGCGGCGCGGCGTTGCCCTATTAACGGCTTCCGCACTATAGGGCCCGTGCCGCTAGCTCCACCCTGCCCTTTTCCGTTAATCGTGCTGGCCCTACTAGCCCTATTGTCCCCGCGCCTATTAGCCCGGGCAGCCGGAACTAGGCTCTATACTTATCGGCCGGCTAGCCGTTTAAATAGGGGCGCAACCTATTATATACGCCCCTAGGTGGCCGGCGGCCGGCCCGGACCTACGTAAGCCTTAGGTTGCCCGTCCCCTCGGCCTTAGGCAGCCTCCTCTACCTAGGGGTATATAAGGCGGCATCCCCCCCTTCCTCCTTCCTTTCCTTCTCCTCCTTCTTTAACCGTAGCAGCAGCAGCAATAGGTAAGTTCCGCTCTACCTAGGGCGTTAGTTCGTTCCTAGCTATACGGGCCGCTTTATTAACGTATGCTCGTAGTAATAGCCGCAGTAGCAATAATAGCCCTAATAATAATAACTTTAACTAGTAAGTTCTCCGCCCTATAGAGCGGGAGGCCGTAATTCGTAATGCTAACTTCCGCGATAGATATGTCTGCCTCCCCCTCCCCCGCTTCCTCCTTCTCGGAGCGTGCGGAGTCGTTCGTCGACGCCGTGCTAAGCACGGCCGACGACGGCTCCGCCGCTGCCGCTGCTCCTGCCCGCGCCCCCGCTCCCGCCCGCGCCCCCGCGACCGCGCCCACCGCCGCCGCCTCTGCCTCTGCTGCGCTGGCCGCCCTCACGTCGCCCTTCCGGGTAACGACGCCGTCCCCGCCGCCGGCCGTGACGCCCGGCCCCTCTGCCCCCGCCTCCGCCACTGCCACCCCCGTAAGTCCGCTGCCTAGCGAGCGTGGTGGCTATTTTCCGCTAACTTCTTAAAGCATAAACGCTAAGTGTAGGCCGGAGCCGCCCGCGCGGCCCCCTATATGCGGTGCGCGTCGCAGGAGCTCCCCTACGCCGACTAAGTCGGGCGCCGCCGTGGCGGCAGTTATTACTAGTGCGCGCGTGCCGGCCGCGCCTATAAGGCGGCGCCTCCCGTCCTGCTCGCTGCGGCGTCGGCTTAGAAGGCCGGCGCGCACGGGCAGGCACGGGGGGCTGCCAAGAAGCGCCTTACCGCCGCCGCCGCCGCCTACCGCAATCTCCGCGCCCTCGAGCGCTAGGGCCTCGTCCCTAAGTAGGTTCCTCTTATCTAGCTCTTCTGCTTCCGCTGCTGACTCTCCCGGCACTAGGGACACTGCCTCCGTCGCCCTGTCGGCGGTCCCCTTAGCCGTGCCCGCCGCCGCCCCCGCCGCTGCTGCTGGCCGGGCCCCCGCCGCCCCCGGAGCCCCCGGAGCCGCCGCTGCCGCCGACTAGCTCGCGGGCCTAGAGGGCCGCCTAAGCGCCCTAGAGAGCGCCGCCGCCGCTAATAAGGTAGAGGAGGACGACGAGGATAAGGATAAGGACGACGATAAGGACGAGGAGTAGGTCTAGGTAGTCTAGGGGCTCCGCCCCGAAATAAACGCTATTTTTATCTCCGCTTATATAATTACGCTCGCGTTATCGTAACTACCTACTCCGCTTTACCTAATTTATAGTCCTAGCCTAGGCTGCTGTCGGTAGTCCGCTAGTCCGTCGTTCTCGTCTACCGTTCCGAATAGGGCTTCGAACTTATCGAGGGCTATAGTTCCTATAAACTTACGTGCGGGTTCCTACGTAGGGTCGAGATACCCGCGCTACTTAACGAGGACCTCCCGGCGTTTCCCCTTGCCGACCTTTTTCTAGCGCGCGGCCTATATCTCTTTAACCCCGAACTCGTCCTCTCCCTCTACCTCGATTACGGGCGGTTAGGCGTCCGCTGCTTCTTATCCGGGCAGTAGGTTAGAGGAGGCTCTACGAAGGAGGTCTACGTTAATCTTATTATAGACCCCTATTAGGAGACTATCGAGCTCTATAACCTACGGGCTAATAACCCTCCGTACCGTAAACTTCGCGTATAGCTAGTTAAGCTTCTTCTTTAGTCGTGCCGACTTATAGTTACGGAGGTCTAGCTATACCTTATCTCCTACCGCGAACCTATCTACTAGGGCCCTAGTCTTATTAGCGTGCCGCTCCTAATCTTACGCCGCGGCGGCTATCGCAGATTAGCAATAATCCGTGGTCTCCTATAGCTTTCGTACGAACGTAGAGGCGCGGCCCTCCGGTAACGAATTACTATACTGCTCCGCTACTATATCTACGGCAAAGGGAACTAATAAGGGTAGTTCGAAGCTATACGTTATAAAGAAAGGGGCTATCTTAATAGAGGTATATAGTTTACTATTTAACGTAAGTTAGGCCGCGGGGAGCCACCGGTCCTAGTCTGCTTAGTTACGGGCCACGATAGCCTATAGGTAAGCCTACGCCTCCTAGTTAACCCTCTCGGGCCCTCCGTCGGTCTATAGGTAATATACCGTGCTAAGCAGCTACGTGATCTAAAGCAGCTAGTATAGGTGCTACTAAAAGCGGCTGGTCTAATTCGATCCCCTATCGCTTATAATAGAGGCTAGCTAGCTATATAAGCGGGCCTAGTACTATAGGAAGCGCTCTACGTAGGACTCCGTATCTATAGACAGTATCGGCTCTAATACTATAGACTTACTAAGTCGGTCCTTAATTACCTATATATAGCGGTTGCCGCCCTCTATAAGTAGGAGGTCTATTATAAAGTCTATCTATATATACGTATAGAACCGGTCGGGCACCGGAAGCTGCTTAAGCAGCCCCTTAAGCTACGCCCTCTAGATCTTCGTGCGGCCGTAGATATCGTAGTTACGGAGGAAGCGACGAACGTAGTACTATAGGAGGGGCTAGTAAAAGTCCCTCGCAAGGCCTGCTACTATGCCCTGTCTGCCTAGGTGACCCACGACGCTAGAGTTATAGATAAGTTAGACTAGCCTCCCTCGGAGCTCGTTCCGTTCGTCTAGCTCCGGCGGTCCCTCCTTCTCCTTAGCTTCCGTAGTATACGGTGCGCCCGGTACCTATAGTCTCCCCCGCTAGCGTAGATGCCCCCGTAGGTCGATATAGTAGTCGGCTACCTATACCTTTAGCTTTAGCTTCGGATCTAGGCGTCGAGCGCCGGACTTAACGGCGCGGCGCACGCCCTCGTAGGTGCGGTCTAGAGCCGCCATCCTATCCTATAAGCGTTAAAGGGCCTTATCTTAGAACACTCTCGCCGCGCGCGCCCTTAGGCCGGTCTATCCCTCCTCGCCGGACTAAGGTAAGGGCGCGGGGGGAAGCTTATTTGCTAGCACCGCGTCTTCCTCTACTAAGGAAGCTCCTATATAAGTCTATAGTACTTCTTATAGGATAAGCTATAGATCCCGGGCCTCGATATCCGCTCCCGTCGGCCGGTCTTAATCCCTCCGGGAAAGCGCGTCTAGGACCGCGGAGTCCCGCCTAGGGCGGTACTTAATCGAGAAGTTAAAGCATAAGAGATACTCCGCCTAGCGGGCTTACCGCTCCGAGAGGTGCTAGCGAGTTATAAAGTACTCGAGGTTCCTATAGTCTATAAGAACCTTAAAGCTCTTATAGCTCCGGAGCTCCGCTTACTATTACTCGAGGCAGCTAATAATCGCTAGTATCTCCTTATCGTAAATAGCGTAATTCCGCTCCGCTAAGGTTAGCTTACGGGAGTAGAACGCTACCGGTTGCTTCCGCCTATCTACCTCTTAGGAGAGCGTTCCTCCGAGTGCCTAGCCGCTATAGTCCGCTTTAACTAACGTAGACCGGTCGAAGTCCTACTAGAGTAGCACCGGGGCTTAAGAGAATAGGTCCTTAAGCGTGCGGAACGCTCCTTCCTATATAGGCCCCTAGCGAAAGGCGGTCTGCTTCCCGGTAATCTCGTTTAGGGGCATTATAATACGGGAGAAGCCCCTAATAAACATCCTATAATAGTTCGCGAACCTAAGGAAGCTCCGTACGCCTATTTACGTAGTTAGGGTAGCCTAGTCCCGAATCGCCTAGATCTTTACGGGGTCCGCCTATATACCTACGCCTACGTAGATAATAAAGCCTAGGTACTTAACCCTCTTAACCCCGAATTCGCACTTATCTAGGTCGAGGTAGAGCCTATAAAGTTAGAGGCGCTCTAGGACCCTCCGTACTTTCCGTATATAGTCCTCGTAGGAGCCGCTCGTATAGATAAGGATATTATCTACGTATACGGAGGCGAACTCGTCGAGGAAGTCCCGAAGCACGTTATTAATATAACGCTAGAAGGTGGCGGGCACTCTTAAGAGGCCGAAGGGCGTTATAAGCCACTCGAATAAGCCGTAGCGTATACGGAACGCCGTCTTCTACTCGTTACCCTCCGAGATCCGTACCTTATAGAACGCTTGTTTTATATCTAGCTTCGTAAACTACTTCGCCTTCGAAAGGTTACGGAGCGTATCCGAGATTAGGGGCAAGGGGTAGCGGTCCGGCCTCGTAATTGCGTTTAGGGCCCTATAGTCGTAATAGAACCGTATCCCGCCCCCTAGTTTACGCACGAATAGGACCGGCGCTCCTACTTTAGAGCTGCTTACTTAAATAAAACCCTTATCTAGGAGGTCCCTTAGCGTCTTCTTTAGCACTAGCAGCTCCGCGTATAATATACTATATAGCGGTCCGAACGGTGTAGGTAGTTCCTGCCCCTTCTTATCGGTACGGAGTACGATCCTATAGTCTACCCCTAGCTTATACGGGTTAAGCTTATCCGCTTCCTAGGACTCGAATAGCGGTAGGAGGTCGTAAAAGCGCTCCGGTATCTATTGCCGTAGCTTAGAGGGCGACTTCGGCTTCTTTATCCGGAGGGCCTTATCGATGTCCGCTAGGCTAACTACGTAGACCGCTACGTTAGCCGCTGCCCGGCCTTGCCCCCGCTCTACCCGTCGCACGGTTCCTATAAAGATAGAGGCAAGGACTTCTTATACCGAGTATAAAGCTCGCACGCTTAGTCCTACGCCTACGGAACCGTTATCGTAGCGGACCTACCGTTACGTAGGCCTAAACTATAGCTTCCTCTAGTACGGAACTAAGTATAACTCTATATATAATAACTAGGGTTTCCCGAGGATTAGGGGAAACTCTAGTTAGGGGATTATATAGGCTACGATAAGCTTATAGTAACCGTCGACCTCTATAGCTAGCCACGTAATACCCCTAATTACCGTACCCTCTATCGCGCCTAAGGCGCCCTTTACTCGCCTTAGGGCGATCTTTTCTACCGGCACTTATATCTCTCGCATAAGCGCCTCGTTAACTACGGCGTAGCACTAATAGCCCTCGTCTATAAAGGCGGCAACGGGCAAGGAGTTATTAATTATAACCTATATTAAAGTAGGCTCCTCTTCTATATAGGCGGATAATTCTTCCTTCTCCTTTGCTAGTGCTAGCAATTAGGGCTCCGGAGCCCGTCTTTGCTCCGGAGCTACTCTTTTTCCTCCGGGCCTAGGGGGGCGGAGTCCTCCTTATCGTCTAAGGCGAGGAGCGGTTCTATCTTTGCTACTTAAACCGCTACGGGCCGCTTAGCTAAAAGGAAGGGGCATTTTAATATAAAGTACGTAGATGCTCTGCAACGTAGGTAGCGGCCGTTAGCCTTCCTCTTCCCGATTTCCTCGCTCGTTACCTACTTCGCCCGCTGCTTAGAGTGCGGGGCGGTATAGGGGGTAGTCGACGGCGTCTTCTTACCGCGTCTAGCCCGGTCCGTACGGGTAGCCGATATTAAGGTATCCCCGTCCGTATCGATAGCCGGTTATTTATCTTACGGAGGGGCGGTGATCCCGTCGCCGCTATACGGCGTACGCTTACGGAGCTTCTAGAAACGCGGCGTCTACTCATAGCCCTAAGCTACCTTTATTAACCGGCTTACGTACTCGCCGTAGTTAGTAGGCATAATTACGGGGATAAGCAGCTCCCGTAGGGCCGGCGTAATCGAATTCCGTAGCTATATAAGCTTCGCGCTATCTTCCTATACCGTAGTCCCCGCTGCCCGTAAGAGCGTCTCTTCGAAATCGGGAAGGAATTCGCTAAAGGTTTATCCGTCTCTCTACTTAAGGGTCCGTAGCCTATCTTACGCCTTCTCCCGCTCCTATACGTTGCCGAACGTATATATAAGGTGTTAGAAGAAGTCTTATAGGTCGCGTCTGCCCCTAGGGCCGCCCTT